GACTACCGCGCTTTATCAAATTGTGCAATGTTCCAATAAATATGTTTCAGATTGAATGGAAATAATATTATGTTATCGCATCCTGTCGAATTGATTACTTTACTTGACCGACCGTATATAGTTAATAGCCGGATGATAAATTCGCGCTAATTACATTACCAACTGTATCTTTGGGCAGGGAGCTGTAATGATCTCATTACAGCTCCTTGCTTTGGGGGACATTGTGTACACTCACTCGCGCCATAATATATTTATCGTCGCAAGAGGGCGCAACGTTTTGGAAAAGTGAATTGTTGGTACATTTACGCTATTCACATCATACATATTACCCCTACTGTTACAGGTCAGCTTAAGATAGATGCCTCTATGGTTATAGACTTTTTAGATGGTGAAGAAGTAGAATTTATATCCGAATACAATGAGCCAACATCGGATGAATACATCGCGCTAGAAAACAAAATAAAAAATAATGTAAGTATATGACTATAGAGGACGCTGTTGTAAAAATGTTACATTTGTCTACAGCTCAGTTATTGGGAGATTACGAAACAACAAAGAATTTGTGTCTGTTTCTTAAACGTTCATAAAATTAAGCTTTTGTCATTACTTTTTTATGTCAACATTATTTTGGCAGAAGTCAGAACAAAGTCATGAGCTGACGTGAGCGCTGACCAAACACGCTATTTTTTCGTTCCAAATGCGCTTATAATGTATGAAATCTTATAATTGCAAACTTGTGTTCACAAAAGTGTTGAAAGACTGAATAATCAGAATACGTGGCTGTTATTTCCATCTCATATAAATACACGAGGCGCTACAACCAAAACAGATTCAAGACGTGATTGTTATCGCCGACGTGTTACCACAACCAGACTGGCTTCCTCGGGACTTTAATCGAAAAGGTCGTCAGCTACTACAGAGGAAGCCACTCTGGTACCGGTGTTCCGTGCACAATAAACTCATTGTAGCTGTTGGCTGTATATTTTCTGCCTCAACTTCTGAATCCATCATTGGTTCCAATCGTCTTCACTGTTACAGAGTTTGATTTTTGTTGAAAACAGCCTCAATAAACATTTATTTTTTTTATCACAGTTAGACAATATTTACATGAACAGTTCAATAGCTGATGTTTACAATGGATCAACAATATTAGATTTTGCGTAAGTACTTTTTTTACTCGATGCATAACGAATCGTCATTTTTTGTTGTTGAAAATATTGGGTATGAATATGTTGTCATATTTTCCATTCAAAGCACTCTTGGTTATCTGCCATCCTGGCCATCATTCGTGTCCTATTTTCCATTCAAAGCACTCTTGGTTATCTGTCATCCTGGCCATCATTCGTGTCATATTTTCCATTCAAAGCACTCTTGGTTATCTGCCATCCTGGCCATCATTCGTGTCATATTTTCCATTCAAAGCACTCTTGGTTATCTGTCATCCTGGCCATCATTCGTGTCATATTTTCCATTCAAAGCACTCTTGGTTATCTGTCATCCTGGCCATCATTCGTGTCATATTTTCCATTCAAAGCACTCTTGGTTATCTGTCATCCTGGCCATCATTCGTGTCCTATTTTCCATTCAAGGCACTTTTGGTTATCTGCCATCCTGGCCATCATTCGTGTCACATTTTTCATTCAAAGCACTCATGGTTATCTGTCATCCTGGCCATCATTCATGTCACAATTTCCATTCAGAGCACTCTTGGTTATCTGTCATCCTGGCCATCATTCGTGTCATAGTTTCCATTCAAAGCACTCTTGGTTATCTGTCATCCTGACCATCATTCGTGTCCTATTTTCCATTCAAGGCACTTTTGGTTATCTGCCATCCTGGCCATCATTCGTGTCACATTTTTCATTCAAAGCACTCATGGTTATCTGTCATTCTGGCCATCATTCGTGTCATAGTTTCCATTCAAAGCACTCTTGGTTATCTGTCATCCTGACCATCATTCGTGTCCTATTTTCCATTCAAGGCACTTTTGGTTATCTGCCATCCTGGCCATCATTCGTGTCATATTTTCCATTCAAAGAACTTTTGGTTATCTGTCATCCTGGCCATCATTCGTGTCATATTTTCCATTCAAAGCACTTTTGGTTATCTGCCATCCTGGCCATCATTAGTGTCACATTTTCCATTCAAAACACTCTTGGTTATCTGTCATCCTGGCCATCATTCGTGTCACATTTTCCATTCAAAACACTCTTGGTTATCTGTCATCCTGACCATCAATCGTGTCATATTTTCCTTTCAAATCACTTTTGGTTATCTGTCATCCTGGTCATCATTCGTGTCACATTTTCCATTCAAAACACTCTTGGTTATCTGTCATCCTGGCCATCATTCGTGTCATATTTTCCATTCAAAGCACTCTTGGTTATCTGTCATCCTGGCCATCATTCGTGTCCTATTTTCCATTCAAAGCACTCTTGGTTATCTGCCATCCTGGCCATCATTCATGTCACATTTTTCATTCAAAGCACTCTTGATTATCTGTCATCCTGGCCATCATTCATGTCATATTTTCCATTCAAAGCACTCTTGGTTATCTGCCATCCTGGCCATCATTCGTGTCATATTTTCCATTCAAAGCACTCTTTGTTATCTGTCATCCTGGCCATCATTCGTGTCATATTTTCCATTAAAAGCACTCTTGGTTATCTGCCATCCTGGCCATCATTAGTGTCACATTTTCCATTCAAAACACTCTTGGTTATCTGTCATCCTAGCCATCATTCGTGTCATATTTTCCATTGAAAGTACACTTGGTTATCTGTCATCCTGGCCATCATTCGTGTCATATTTTCCATTCAAAGCACTCTTGGTTATCTGCCATTCTGGCCATCATTAGTGTCACATTTTCCATTCAAAACACTCTTGGTTATCTGTCATCCTAGCCATCATTCGTGTCATATTTTCCATTGAAAGTACACTTGGTTATCTGTCATCCTGGCCATCATTCGTGTCATATTTTCCATTCAAAGCACTCTTGGTTATCTGTCATCCTGGCCATCATTCGTGTCCTATTTTCCATTCAAAGCACTTTTGGTTGTCTACCATCCTGGCCATTTCGTGTCATATTTTCCATTCAAAGCACTCTTGGTTATCTGCCATCCGGGCCATCGTTCATGTCACATTTTCCATTCAAAGCACTCTTGGTTATCTGTCATCCTGGCCATCATTCGTGTCATATTTATTCATTCAAAGCACTCTTGGTTATCTATCATCCTGGCCATCATTCGTGTCCTATTTTCCACTCAAAGCACTTTTGGTTATCTGCCATCCTGGCTATCATTCGTGTCATATTTTCCATTCAAAGCACTCTTGATTATCTGCCATCCTGGCCATCATTCGTGTCATATTTTCCATTCAAAGCACTCTTTGTTATCTGTCATCCTGACCATCATTCATGTCATATTTTCCACTCAAAGCACTCTTGGTTATCTGTCATCCTGACCATCATTCGTGTCC